TGTACACAGAAATGGAAATACTGACAATAACGCTTAGAATTACAGAAACTATGCAAAATACAGGTTAATGTGAACAGAAGTGACCACTCATATTCTATCAGATCAGGTAAAGCATCCATAAATTACACCCTTCATGGTTAACTCCATCACCACTGCTGTTAGGTTGTTGTTCCTAACGTTGGATTTCTTCCTCTTTTCCGCTGCCTGCTTTGGTAGCGAGGCAGTCAATCTTGGCATTTTCTTGGTAAGTGGAACTTCTGCTAAGCTTTTTTCAATTAACTTCCGTTTCAGACACTCGACACCTTTCTGCTTCTCTCTCCGCTCAAGATAACTCTGTTTTAAGGTGGCTAGACTGGATTTTTTGTGGGGGATACCTCCCAAATTTGAATATTAACTACGTCGCCATAAGTAAAGATATGGAAAAAAGGTTTCCACAACTGTATTATATAAAGATGAAAATTTCTTATGATTTAAGTTTTATTGCAATCGGAGTCGCCATGGTAACGTAACGACGCCATTACGTTTTTTATTTATCTTTGTGTTTCTCTGTACCAGGAGTTTTTTTAAGAAATCGCTTAAGGGAGTTTGTAAAGTTTGAACAAATTCTATGAGGGCGTTTTTGAAATATTTTGCAACGAAGTTTTAAGCATCATAAAAACAGTGAAATAGCATGCTATCCACACAATTAGCTAATTTTTTAAGAAAATGATAAGCTTTGAAAACGCGGCTTCATTTCATAGTGGTTTGATTCCATTGTAAACTGTGTACAAAAAAAGAGGGGAATCGCTCTGGGCGATCTCGAATAAGAAGAATTTTATTAACCTGCATTCAGCTGCTTTTGTTACAGTTTTTGCACGTAATTTGGTCCACGTCTACAAATTTCGCATTTTTCAAAAAACTGCTGGATAAATTTTTTTTATAAATTTGAAAATCTCGAGATCAATCGTTAATAAATATACCCTGCAAGTTTCAAGAACATTGAAAACAGGAAAAGCTTTTAAACAGGGCCTCAAATATGACCAATTTTTCCCCCAGATTTTGTGTTTACAAGTGAGCGTCCTCATTATTCACTGGCATTGTTTTCAAGTTTCATATGCACGTGCATTGATCTCGGAATTTTCAAATTTATAAAAAGATTTATCGGGCGGTTTTTTGAAAAATGCGAAATTTGTAGGCACGGACCAAATAACGTGCAAAAACTGTAACAAAAGCAGCTGAATGCAAGTTAATAAAATTCTTCTTACTCGCGATCGCCCAGAGGAATTCCCCTCTTTTTTGGTACACAGTTTTCAATGGAATCAAACCACTATGAGATGAAGCCGCGTTTCCAAAGCTTATCATTTTCTTAAAAAATAAGCTAATTGTGTGGATAGCATGCTATTTCACTGTTTTTATGATGCTTAAAACTTCGTTGCAAAATATTTCGAAAACGCTCACATAGAATTTGTTCAAACTTTGCCATAATTGAGGCAATTATGGCAGGTACAAACTCCCTTCCGCGATTTCTTAAAAAAACTCCTGGTACAGAGAAACACAAAGATAAATAAATAAAGGAATGGCGTCGTTACGTTGCCATGGCGACTCCGATTGCAATAAAACTTAAATCATAAGAAATTTTCATCTTTATATAATACAGTTGCGGAAACCTTTTTTCCATATCTTTACCCATGGCGACGTAATTAATGCTCAAACTTGGGAGGTATCCCCCCAAAAAAATCCAGTCGAGCCACCTTAAGTTTCTGTGATAGCCCTATAGCGGTTTCTATCATTACCTCTGCTTCGCTTATGCCAACTCTATCACGCTCTATCTATCACGTGAAAGATGGACCGCCCACAGTCGACCCAAAATCCACTACACACAATTAAACGTTAAGAGGAAGACAGCGCAATGTTTTTTGCATTTTGGGGTCTAGAAAACACAACCTTTGCGACATCAAAGTTTCGCGGATTGTCGATTTTTAACTACCAATCAAACATTTATTTCAAATTTTTAAATGTTTCTTGAATTTTACACGAAAAAGGCCTAAAATGTAGGCAAAAAATTGCTCAGTTTATAGGACTTAATAGGAGAGATAGGAAAAAATAGGATTTTATAGGAAAATAAGACTCGCTTGACAACCTGCTTTTGACTTTTCGTACCATGGTCACGCTCTACGTCCAATTTTTATGCTCTGATTGGTCAAAATTTGCCAGGTGAGTTCATGAGGAAAATTAATGCAGCATCTGGAAAGTTGTTTACTGATAGCTGAAGCCAACAGAGTTTTTGTCATCTTGTGATGTTTTTAACTGCCTTTTTCACTGGATGTACAAAATGAAATACAGTTATTATCTAGATTCTTGTCATTCATGGCTGGTTTGTTAATTGGAATTTTGCTTGAGAAATGCGCCGCTTGTCAAAGTCATCGGAAATCCGATTTCGGAATGGTATCGTTTTCGTTTTTCACCGTGCTTGATGCGTAAGAGGCTTGAAAAGTCTCAAGCGATTCTGCCCTTACTTGATGGTTTTCAGGAGCTGCATCTCCTCTGGTTAGCTTAAGTAATTATTGTATTTGATGTTTGTTTGTTTGCTTTTCTGGTTCAAGAAGTCGAACGTAGTTTATGCGACTAGTTTATGCACGTTTGTAAGATTTGAGACAATAATCTGACTTAGTAAGCTTATCAGGTTTGATATAAGCTTAAGCTTGCAGAACTTTAAAAAGCCTTTTAGACATTTTCTGACCGCAGATAGAAAGAAAACGTCCCGAAGAAGATTAAGGTATAATTGTGACTGTAAAAAGAAAGCTTTGAGCGATATTCTCGCCTCGCGTTCATCTTGGGAAAAAAAAAAAAACACCGGGAAGCCGGCCGGCTTAAAACATAAGCTTATTAAATTATAATGCTTACACCACTCAAGATTTTTAGAGACACTTTAATCTCAATACTTGTCTTAATAAATTTCACCGAATCGTATTTGTTTTGTTGATCGTTAGTAGTCTCTTTCGCAATTTTAATCGCTGTGCCGGTTGTTTTCAGTTGTACATGAACATCGCTTGCGGGAGTACTCAATCGGAACTCAAAAAATGCCGCGCGTATCGAACGCTTTTAAAGATTACACATAACAAAACCATTAAATAAACATAAAAATTCTTTATTATGTTGAAGCATAACTCTTAGAATATCAATGACCATTCAAACGCGCAACAGCTCGCACTGCAAATTTTTCGCTTGTCAAAGGTGAGAACCGGCTGGCCGTAACTATATAGATGACTTTGGAAATTTTGTGAACTTTTTCGCTTAAAGGTCATTATTATGCAGAATACCACATAGGAGAAGATTGTTCTGACCGAACAGTCCCGACATTATGGAGCTCTCTTTATGAAAACGTTTTATAACGTGGTCAATTCTATAATTTTTTGTGGAAGGAAGCGCGTGCTTCGATCGTCCTGAATATTGAGTGAGTGCAATTTGTCCTGCAAAATTGGGAAAAACTGCATTCTGTTCAAGCTCTGTATGACCAAAAAAAAAACAGCACCTCCATGTTTACCTCAAATGTGATGTATAAAAAGTATAAAAGGGAGCCTTACACGCCACCAGATTTGTTGGCAAGATTTTATTATTAAAATAAACGAGTCGAACACAAAAAATTCGTCCTGATTATTTATTCTGGCCTTCTTTTTTAGACAAAGTAATGCAACCTGTAAATTGGCTACCACCGAGGGCTATCGTGTCTTATAACCGGCCTTTGTAGCATAAAATTTAATTTCGGTGCTGTCCAATTAACCTCATAAATAAAGTTGGTGTAGGTGGGCGACTGGGTTATTTTGCTTCGGAAGAATTTGTTTTCCAGGCCTAATCTACTGTGATCAAAAGCCATTATGGCTCTTGACTGTGATCAAAGATGATTGCTATTATTTAGGTGTACATATAAGACTATAAACTCGATGTAAGATTTGTTTCACTCTTAGATTGAATGCAAATTATTTTTCTCTAAAATCACTTAGCCTTTCCCTCAAAAGTCAAATGAATGTACCCTAAAGTTAACTGATTTGTGGATCACAAGTTTATTGTTTGATTTTAAATATATTAATGGGAGCGTCGCTTTTAGCCTGGGCTAAATCTATATATTAGACACTTAACAACGCGTCACTGACACCCATCTCGCCTCTTAATACTGCATCCCTCACGTCACGTGACACTATACACTTACCCGGACAGATTTTATGATGGAAACAACAGCGAGACCTTGCAAAAAATTTAATTAAAAACAGATTTTTTGTTCCCGCCCAACAACTATTCATACGCAATCAAAACCCAATAATTCCCGAAATCCTTTTTTCCCCTATTTTTGCTACATTAATTCAATCTAACTATGAGTTGGCTCACAAGAGCTTTGAGTTTCCTTTAATTTTGGATTTCTCTCTCTTCCTTCACTAAATATCTCTTATACTGTCAATGTAAGTTTGATAATCTAGAATATTAATGGCTAGGGATGTTTTTGTTTCGCATCGAAGCCAACTTTGAACGATGTTACGTTTGATAAATCTCGTTCCCCGAGGCCGCGATCCTTTTGTACAGCGACTGGGATCACTAACCTCTAGAAGAATCCGAAAAAACCATCTCCGATTGCCCGATAAAATCGTGTTCATCACATGCAAATTTCTGCTACGGAAGGAGAGAATTGTAACAATGTGTGAGCAAGGAAAATTTCCCTTGAAAACTTCTCGCAATTTCACGAGGCGCAATCAAACCGGAACCACGATTTTGTGGTTCTGGTTTTGGATTCTTCCAGAGCGCCCGTTAACCCATCCGTTGGACGAAAGTAACGGAGGCTCTGGGGACGAGATTGATGTTGGATCAAAAATCAAACTATCGCACATGCGTGGAAAAGTACATCAGGCCCTTAAACCACAGTCTGTATTACACCTATGATTTTATTCACAACAACGTTTTTCATATTCTCTACTATGTTAAAAGCTGTATCGGCGGACTGTTTTAGCAAAGAGAGCAAAAAAGCACGTCCTTCAGATAAATCCTACGTCTAATGACCCTTCAGGAGCGTCCACATTAAGAACGTCACCAATAAAACCTGCATGTTGTTTTTCTTCATCATCGTTTGGTTGAGCTTCTTCTACCTCCCCACAGTCTGTTTCAGTGGTTTCATTTACTTGTTCTTGTTTTTGGGTAATTTTCGTTCCTGTCCGTAAGCAAATGCAATAGTAACTTAGACCAGTATCACTCGTCAGACCTGGAACAGTAGGGTTTGAACTATGATCACACTATACCGGATAGCTTTTTGTGCCGACACGAAAAGCTATCCGGTTTAATGTAAACAGTAGCGGCACAGAACTGGAACAAGTCGTTCACACACATCAAGCATCGTGCCGCCCGAGCGGTTGGCCCAGGGGGGTTTGGTTCTTTAAAGGGGCTATGTCAGCTAGAGAGCATACGCGTTGAGGTTACTCAAATTACTTTCAACCGTCAAAATTCTCAAATCAAATGAAGAATGATCCTCGCAGTTGTGAACGCAATTTATGCAATTGCTTAAGAAGCCATGAAAAAAGATGTTCCCTTAATTTGACTTCATTTTCGCAGTTCTTATATGATTCATTTCATATACATCTGTCACATTCATCTTTTTCACGCGAATATATGAACACTTAATTAACCAGCTCCCACCATCAGTGGCTTCATAGCTCAGTTGCTTAGAGCATCGCACTAGGTCGTGGGTTCAAACCCCGTTGAAGTACTGATTTTTTCCCCAGGCTTCTTACACAATTACATAAATTGCGTTCACAACTGCGAGGATCATACTTCATTGCTCGAGGTTGCGTAGCACCGAGAGTCATAATCTACAAGCCGTTTTTCTTCTTCGTATTTAGGACACAAAAGGGAGGTCGGTTTCCCAGGCGTTCCTAGCGGAGACCGTTTATTCTCGGTAATGATTGAGGTGATGCGCGTAATTGATCTCGTTCTGACTTTTTAGCAATGATGTAATTTCCCCCGATTTTCGTGTATTCATACACGCGTATTAAAAAGCAAATACCCTGAAGAATACTCAACCGTCGATAAAGTAGGACATGAAAATATCATAGCGGAGGAAATCCTGCTTCGTGGTGTATTGAGGCATTACGTGTCTCAGAATATTGACGCAATTACTGGAACTCTACGGTTAAATAGATTCGATATTGCAGATTCATTTTCTTGCATGTATTTATAGTGATTTTACTCAACCTGTGAAATAGGTAGTAGAATACCACGCACTATTATCTACTTATTCTATTGTCTTCTTTTGTTTACTTGTAGCTATTTTGCACTAGTTGTTATTAACTGTTTCACGGCTCAAGTAAAATCACGCTAATTGATAGATTTTCGCAGTTGTTAAGATGTGAAGTCGCGTTGCGCTGTATAAATACTTGAGATATCAATGATTTAAACTTTAACTACTAGAAGCAACTTCAATTACTCGTCTGAGGTTACGTATATGCCATGGATATGTTTGCACTTGACTGTCACGCACTCTACGTGCAGCACTTCATCGGCCAATGGAAACTACTAGTCTACAAATTGAACTAGTCTACCTATTTTCGAAGTTCTCTAGTTTGGGAAATGTGTATTTATTTTTCATACTGACGTGTTCATTGATGTTTCCTTGATGTCCTCACACCTGAATATTTTCTTCCGTCTCAGTGGGTTTCAGTTTTCTTTCCTAGTTATTCACTTCCGCTACGGTCCAAATAGCTGTTCACACTACACAAACGTGTAGCACTGAACCTACCCGATGTGTGACGCTCCAATTCTTGAGACCGGCGCGGCGCAGCTTCGCTTGGTCAAAGAAATCGCGCCAAAGTCACCATTCTTGTGTTTTAACAGAGGCTCTATCCGCTATGATTTCCGTACCGGCGCAAAAGAAATCCGTTATATTGTGAACAAAGCCTTAGATGGGGTGGGGAGAGCGATAAAACCGGTCGGGTATACTTACGTTACAAAATACTGTATCGTTAGGGATTGACAGGTCGAAAAACACGGTTGAAATTCCATGGTTTCAAGAAAGCCAATAAGTCAGTAAAAAAATTCTGATACTAAAACATTCCTGTCAGCGGTAAAAAATATTTCTTTAGTTCGCGCGTCCAAAGTTAATCACTTTCCTAGTTTGTTCTCTATGCATATTATTTGACTTTATTCAAGGAGAGTATCGGCCATATTAATGCGCTGGGAAGATCACGTAATCGACAACGGGAATCAGCATGCAATGTACGAAAATACGGAAGCAGCGTGGCCGAGAGTTTAGAGCACTGGACTTGCAATTCGGAAGCCCCGAGTTTAAGTACCGCCTTGACCACTAGGTGGATTTGTTCGACTCCTCGGTCATGCTTGCTTGTAAATAGCCAACTGCTTTGCCTCCGACCAGTTGGGATTCTTAACCCTGAATTTGAATTATAATTTGATTTCAATTATTTATTTCAGGCATTTGCCCAACCCAACAAGCATAAGTGCTATAAATATTGCCGAAGGTAAACAAAGGTCATTATTATTAATTATGTTGTCATTTAACAGCCCATTAAATGGGGTCTGCTAAGAAATCGAAACATTGCTAGAAATGGCACTGACTGTTTATCACGACTCGAGGATGATACATATTTTATAGAGCAGAAAATCTAACAATTGGGTTTACAAAAAGGTTCCAATATAGTAAACAATGCAATGGAAAAAGTAAAAAATTCATTTACCTTTGCGTTCTTCAGTAGGTGCCCCACACAGTACTTGGTAGTGTGCCTTGTCAAACTTGCTAATTTGAAGTCGAGTTGATACCTTAGCTTTCCAGCCACAAAATATAAGTCTGCATCCAATGGTGTCTTCTGGTTTACTGAAACAAACAAACAAACAGACAAAAAAGACAGAAGAAAAATGTGCCGGAGAGAAGTAACTGTGATCTCTGCTGCAGTGGATAAGGCTTCTCAAAAACTAGTCCACACAAAAGATGTATCCCCTTACTTGTGACTATTGAGCATTCGGACTTGTTAACTGGTATAATAGAAACTAGCAGTAATCGGGGATTAGTGAGTACGTTCAAATGTTTACCATTGGAATGGACGTTGAAGATAATTGTCACCAAAGTGTAGTCGTTTGAACAAATCAGTGAATTATGAAGACGAATTTAATCAGGGAGATGGGTTTTACAGAGACTACAATGCTCGTCAAAAATCTTGAAACACTTGTGTGCGTTTCCCCTTCCCCAATGTTGATTGCACAGTCGTCTTAGTGCTTCAAAATACGCGTGGCTCAACATTGGGAAAGGAGTGGGGCTTATTTGAGTGAGAAAAAAATTGCGAAGATTGAATGTAAGAAAGTTTCGAGAAAATTTACGAGAAACGGTGTCAGTTTCAATGATTTGTGAAGGGTATTGTAGCTTTCTTTAATGTAAAGACCAAAGTATCAACATTGTCTTTAAAGCTTATGAAGATTTTCTGAATAAATATAACTCGAGTGTAATATAACGACGTTGTTAGTATTAAAAGCACAAGAAAGGGCTATACTAATTTTATTCTCCTAATGAACTAAACACAAAACATTCTGACATTTAAAATACTTGTAGCTCCAACGAGTGCGCAAAACGGTTACTCAGAATGATGAAAGTTTTCTTCTAACAAAAAAGGGAGCGATACTGATATTTCCCACAGATGCTTTCCAAAAAGTAATTTGCCGAAATGAATTCTTAATGTTGGATCACTTGTCGATTACTTGCCTTAGTTCTCCAAACCAACAGTATGACCAGCTGGTTTTTTCTTGTCGTTTTAAATGTATACCAACCCAGTTGAGCATTCTGGATGTCCCCTTTAACATTTCTAAACATGTTTTTCGCCAAAGCGCTTGTTTCAAAGACCACGCAACCGAGAGAAACGAAGGGCTCTGGGAACGAGGAGGCTGACGTATTTTCGTATCCTGTACCTTGCCTTACCTTGCCCAACCCACTCAAAATCGAGTTTCTTTCTACTAAATGCTCATGCCCTGGCTAACGTCGAACGCCATTACAATTACAAAGATCACGGAAGTACAAGCCTAGTTAACCCTTTGCTATAATAGAATGGAGACTAGGAGATTTTTGCTAGTCTGATAGCAACGCTGCATACACACAGGAAAACTAAACAGGTGAAGAGCATATGGGTAACCTCTAAACCGCGATGGCACAACACTGTTTGTTCCAATTAATTCCTGAATAAACTTTTATTTCCTTTTGCTTCAAAATCATTGCACATAACACAAAAAATAAAGAGAGAACCAAAGATCATATTGAACTTCAACATATGTATGAAAGACCACAAATATAACCAAAAAACATCGTAAAAAAGTAATGATCATTATTTATTCTCAGCACTATTAACAGCGCAATCGTTTTTGGGAACAAGCAAATAATAGTCAAATTCAACATAAAAATATTAAGAATCCCAAATGGAAGGGAGGTAAACAATTTGGATTTTTGCAGCATTTTGAGAACGAAAAACGTTTGAAACGGCATTTAGTTTAAACCTATCTTAGCATCTCAAAGTTACGTTCAGAGGGGGTCAAACGTTCTCTTAATATTAAAATATATAGGGAGCGCAGAGATAGTACTCAGACCGTTTCACCAAGATAGATCAAGAGAGTGACAATTAACAACGAAATGATCTTAAGGAAGACAAAGGAAAAGAGTGAAACCAGATGAAGCAAGTGTACCCACTGAAACACATGTTCAGAGGAAGTTCAAAACTTCAGAGTAATCAAGGCCAACGGCTTGCAAAAGATTTAACATCGTAATAAAGTACGGCGTCACCTATACAAATCTGACGCGAAAAACTGTTGTCAACAAGCTAGGCGATGAGTGAAAGAATGTAAATTGTGATGGCACTAAAACGAGAGGTACCATATTTCAAAAGCTGGCAGTAAATTCGACTTCAGTATGTTGGTAACAGGGTTCAAAAAGGTCTTTCAATTTTCATTTGCTGTTTCCAACAAAACCAATATTGTGTAGTTCCAAAAAAATATCCATACCCTCCTCACGCAGGACAAGGGAAATTCTGACGGGAGGGGGGGGGGGAGGATTTAAAAGGAGGCAATTTCCAAGGGGGTGGGGAGTGGCTTTATGAGGTCGTTTTCCGGGGGCTTCGAGTATGCTTGGCTTGTTATTAAAAACTAACTGCTGCTCTGTTAAGCAAGCCATTAGTTATTTACTGTTAACGGGTGAGTAGTAATAGTCGCTACTGGGCGGCACGACCAATCAGAATCGAGTATTTAGACCACGTGACCTAAATTGACCAATCAGCGTCCAGGATTTCATGGGGGTTAGTACCACATGTAAAACCATCACGAAAAGTCTCCCAACATTCCCCCGTCATGTAAGACACACGAAAAGTCACGTTTCAACCAATTTTATTCTGACGTCATACCTAGCGTTACAATCGGGACGTGTGTGACCTCCTATTGACGTCACGCCCATTTCGTTTTAAAAAGTTTAAAAAGTCATCAAAAAAATGGCCGGGAAAGCGGTGGTTCGGTGGCCATTGCCGGTACTGGCTAGAAAGTTCTTACTTGGTTGGAGCAGAGTCTGATCAGTCGGATGGACTCGGCTCACAGGTTCGAATCCTGTCGGGAACGGTTTTTTTTTTCTTTACAAATCTAATAAAATATCTACATTTTGTGCGTCGCACTCTGTCAACACTCGGTATCCAAAAGGATAACTGATTTGGCTAATGGTTACATCATCACTTAACGTGTAGTCTACCAAAGAAAGTACTGCACAGGGTATCAAAATTCTATAGAAAACAACGGGTGGTTCTAAAGTAAACCCTAACTCTTTTGGTTCTTAAATCAACTCCATTTTTGTTCCTAATGAGTGGAAAGTTTATTTATAAAAATAGGAATAAGAGATGCGATCCCCTAGCAACACATGTCTTCTTATTTAGCGCTAAAAATCGGATATATAACAAAACACATACACACATACAAAAAGTGGAGCTGAAAACTCTCTATTTCAATTTTGACTCACCATTACGAAAGCGTTTTCTCCGTTCCATCTCGAGGAAACGACTAACTATTGAAATCTCAGCGCTTGATGAGCTTATGGTTTTGTCAATTTACGCGCCGTTAGCGTTAGTCAGTTAATTATGCGGGCTAACAAGTCTAAAGTTGAATACAAATTAGTTCATCTCTACAGCTAGACCCAAGGGAGCACCTTGACTTATTATTGTAAAAGCACAAACAATTGATAACTTAACAAGGATCAATTTAAACACGCGACAAATAAATTGACAAGACACGAGATACAGTTTTAAAAACTTTATTGAAAACCAGTGACAAAAAGAGTCAAATAAACAGCGATTTGGAAGGGATGGAAATTAATCATCTTCTTCGCCCATGGAGTACTTGTAAGGTCTAACTCGAAATTTCTTATGCCGACGTTTCTTCAGCTGTTTGCCATGAGATTTATGATCATCCAAATAATTTAGAAATTGAATCCGACGCCTCTTGCGCTTCGGGCCTTGTGGTGATGGGGTTTCTACTGTGGGAGGAGGGGTCAGGAAAGCAGGATTTAAGGGTGGTGGAGGGGTGAGGCTTTCTTTGTCAGGTTTTTGAGAGATAGCCGCTTGTGTTAATTCAGGTGTTACATTAAAGGGGTTGAGGGGAGTCGAGAATGCTGTCGTTGCTGTCGAAGAATCTTGTGTCCTTGATGTTAAGTCTGGAACAGTGCTGATTATTTCTTCCGGTCGTGTTCTTGTATTTAATTGTTCTTTAAAAGCCAGGTATCTGTTTTGCAACTGAAAGTATCGTTTAGCTTTTTCATCGTCCCGAAGATCGTTTCGAGAAAGCACGTCATCCATGTTGCCTTGTATTTCTTGCATAGCTGGAAGAAGCGGGACAGGCGAAAGAGTTTGCTGCTTCAGATATTTTAGAAGCTCTTGAGGAATATTTTCCTGAAACCCTGCTTGGTTAAAGCCTTCTTCACTGGGTAGGACGTTTGTTCGCAACCGACAATTATCTTGGGTAGTAGTTTTCAGATCAATCAGAAGATAACCAAAAGGTCTTTTTACAGCCTCTTCGTACTGATTTAAAAAGAAATCAGTCTGCCTGGGATACATTTGCTTCGCCAGAGTCAGGATTTGCAATTTGTCTCGTGGATTCTTGAATAACACCAGATAATGGCTGTTTAGGCTTATGCTGCGGCTACCTTTCCCCTGATGAAATAGATTCTGCACGATATAAATCACGCTCAGATTGCGATGATGAGAACCACGAGTAAAGAGGTTCACAATTCGCTTGTCTTTACTGGCGTCAATCATCTGATCATCAAACACGATCAAATTCCGTTTGTTCACGTCAAAATAGGAATCCTGCTCCAAAGCCCTAGGAATTCCCTTGACGAATTCAATGTTTGGCATGGCGATTAACATTTGTGTATACGCAGGCTGCCATTGTGAATAACACCAAACGATCCTCTCCGGGGGAGGGTAAATTGTCTCTGAAGCTTGTTGCAATAGAGATCGAACCCAGGCCGTTTTTCCCGACCCGGTCATTCCGGCAATCATGGAGGTGAAAGGGTGCTCGAAGCGAAACCGCTGACATTTCTGTGAAAATATTGGAACTGTTTGAAATGGTGTGAGACCAGCATTGCGGTGTTTAGACATCACGTGCCTTTGCATATTATCTTTTCTACTAAAGGATTTTTCGCAGACAGAACAGAGCCAACTCATGTCAACTCCTCAGGAGTAAAATGTAGACTGAGAAAGAGGTAGAATGTTGCGCATTTATATAGGTTTTCAGGCCACAAAATTCTATTGTTTTCCTCCCCTAAAACCACCACTACCACCACCATCACATTTCTATTGCTTTTCCTCCTCCTCCTCCTCATTTCTATTGTTTTTCCTCCTCCTCCTCATTTCTATTGTTTTTCCTCCTCCTCCTCATTTCTATTGCTTTTCCTCCTCCTCCTCATTTCTATTGCTTTTCCTCCTCCTCCTCATTTCTATTGTTTTTCCTCCTCCTCCTCATTTCTATTGCTTTTCCTCCTCCTCCTCCTCCTCCTCATTCTATTGTTTTCCCTCCACCACCACCACCGCCATCACATTTCCATTGTTTTTCTCCACGACAGTCAATAAAAGACTGCAAACTACTATCATAAGTTCAGTTTGTCGCAATGTCTCAAGTTGTCAAGAACAATCGTGGTTTTCTTCAATTCTTAGCTGTTTGTCCAGCTCATCAGCGACAGTTTCTTTTACGGACAGCCAGTCCAAAACAACTACATGCATTAGTCCAAGTCTTATACAATATACTTAAGGAATACATTCTTATCCCCGAAGAAAATAAGCGGAACGTGTTGCCATATAAGGATGCTCTAGTAAACCTAGCAGAAACAAATGTACCTTACAAAACAAAGAAGCGAATCCTTGTACAAGAGGGTGATGGTTTTATTCAAGACCTATTGGTACCTGCTGTTACAAGCCTAGGATTTTTGATGCTATAAAAGAGGAAACGAAACTATAAGTTACTCATTTGAAGCAACGGTCTGTCACGGGTACTCATCAAAATGAAGAGAAAGATAGATTTGGTTGAAGAAGAACACGAGAGTGAACATGAAGAAAGTGAAAGTTCTGGTGATGAAAGCGAGGATGAAGAACCAAGAATAAAAGAAGAACCAAGAATAAAAGATGTTTTGAGTCATCTTTCCCGAGCAGTGTCGGAAAAGCGTGCTTCTGATTTGCTGCATAGTATGGCCGCCTCCAAAGATATTCTTTTCTGGACTCCCAGCGGACAATTACTTCGAAATAAACGCACTATTCCCGTCACAAACATCGCCGAGCTAGTTGAGTATGTGTTACTCCCTCATAACAATGAGGTTACCAAGCCTCGTGCGCTAAATACGTTTCTAGATGGACTTGCAGAGTTAGGAATCGATAAAGGTTTAATCAAAAACAAAAAGTTGTTAAGTGATTTAATAGAAAAGGAAAAAGGCTACCGAAATGTAGAAAATACTTCCGATAATGAGAGTAATAATGACGAGAGTTCATCGGATATTGAAAATCAGGAGGAGGAGGAGGAAGTGGCTTCTGAGAATGGCGTTGAAACTGAAGGCACCCAAGAGAGCGACAACGACACTGAAAGCGATAGTGAGGAAGCAGAAAGTAGTAGCCCTGAAACGTCCACCACCTTTCACTCTAAAAGTCCCTGTGAACGTTGCGAAAACTCTAATGTGTACTCCACATTGATCATGAAATGTCCTAAATGCCTTTGGCACGATAACTACAAGATTTGTCCTATATGCGATCACCAGATCCCCGAGGAGAGAAAATACATTAAAGAGGGCTTTCTTCGGTGTCACGATTGTGGATTAATTACACACAAAAACGCCAAGACGTTGGAAACCAATTTTTATTCACCTTCTAAAGAGGAGAACGAAGAAGATGATTAATTTCCATCCCTTCCAAATCGCTGTTTATTTGACTCTTTTTGTCACTGGTTTTCAATAAAGTTTTTAAAACTGTATCTCGTGTCTTGTCAATTTATTTGTCGCGTGTTTTAATTGATCCTTGTTAAGTTATTAATTGTTTGTGTTTTTACAATAATAAGTCAAGGTGCTCCCTTGGGTCTAGCTGTAGAGATGAACTAATTTATATTCAACTTTAGACTTGTTAGCCAGCATAATTAACTGACTAACGCTAACGGCGCGTAAATTGACAAAACCATAAGCTCATCAAGCGCTGAGATTTCAATAGTTAGTCGTTTCCTCGAGATGGAACGGAGAGAACGCTTTCGTAATGGTGAGTCAAAATTGAAATAGAGAGTTTTCAGCTCCACTTTTTGTATGTGTGTATGTGTTTTGTTATATATCCGATTTTTAGCGCTAAATAAGAAGACATGTGTTGCTAGCAGTAGGGGATCGCATCTCTTATTCCTATTTTTATAAATAAACTTTCCACTCATTAGGAACAAAAATGGAGTTGATTTAAGAACCAAAAGAGTTAGGGTTTACTTTAGAACCACCCGTTGTTTTCTATAGAATTTTGATACCCTGTGCAGTACTTTCTTTGGTAGACTACACGTTAAGTGATGATGTAACCATTAGCCAAATCAGTTATCCTTTTGGATACCGAGTGTTGACAGAGTGCGACGCACAAAATGTAGATATTTTATTAGATTTGTAAAGAAAAAAAAAACCGTTCCCGACAGGATTCGAACCTGTGAGCCGAGTCCATCCGACTGATCAGACTCTGCTCCAACCAAGTAAGAACTTTCTAGCCAGTACCGGCAATGGCCACCGAACCACCGCTTTCCCGGCCATTTTTTTGATGACTTTTTAAACTTTTTAAAACGAAATGGGCGTGACGTCAATAGGAGGTCACACACGCCCCGATTGTAACGCTAGGTATGACGTCAGAATAAAATTGGTTGAAACGTGACTTTTCGTGTGTCTTACATGACGGGGGAATGTTGGGAGACTTTTCGTGATGGTTTTACATGTGGTACTAACCCCCATGAAATCCTGGACGCTGATTGGTCAATTTAGGTCACGTGGTCTAAATACTCGATTCTGATTGGTCGTGCCGCCCAGTAGCGACTATTGCTACTCGGATGTTTCAAAACAAGAATTATTGTATTTGTAATCTTTTAATTAGGGTCGGCTGAATTCTTTTTTTATTTATTTGTTTTAATGCAATTGTCATCGGTCATGAATAAACTTCCAGTCATTTAGCTGTTGCTTTATTACACTGTTGTGGTATGCACCGTAATGTGATAGTGCTCTAAGCCTTCTTCTTACATGTTTTAACTGAAAGGAATTAATTTCAGTCCATTCGGTGTTAGTTTAAAGGTAACTTTATCTTTTACTGAATGTATCACCTCCATGGCTCTTCGGCAGTGGCTTACCGTTAATTATTAGCTAAGAAAGACCTCTACAGGGCAAAATTGATCTTATTAGACCATGTATTAACATGATTAAGATTTTTTTCTCACTTTATCCCACAAACATTTACTTTTCGCATTATACAACATTGCTGACGGAAAAAACAGAAAACCAGGGAAATTCCAGGTGGTAAGGAGGCCTGGCAAGCGCCCCCTGGAATGGAAATTTTTGCGGGGTGGGCGATTTAACTACACATTCTACAAAAGTTAATTTTATATGTATTAATCTCGTTTTTTCTCCTTAATTGTTTTTATTCCATATGGCGGGATGCTCTAGTTATTCATACAATAAACCCCATTATGGGAGCCTTTGGCTTCAGTTTCATGACTCTGCGGTAAGATAGAACCACAACTTAAGAACCTATTATAAATAACCACTCACCTGTATGGTCCTGTTGGTTCATAAAGGTACACGATACAGCCTTGTCCTATAAAGCAAATACACATAATATTAGTGAAAAGTCAGGTACAAAGAGTGCAACTCAATGTACGTGTCTAGGGGAGGTAGATCCCGGTGGTGTGGCCAACCTTTTCAGGGCTGGGTGGGTTGTCTGTAAGGAGAGATCTTACTATAGGGATAACCTGATGACCCTCCTTCAGGTGTCGTAATGGCTACCTGTAACAAAGTATGTGTTTGTGTTTAACAGTCCTATAAAATTATTAAGCGATATCTTAAAGGCAATCAGACAAGAAACATGCTAAACATTATTCCTTTTTTAACAAATAAATGGTATTATCCATATTTAATTTCTATCCTCTACAATTCGCTTCATGCCTTAAGGTTTCCTGCTAACTGAAGTAAGTAAAAAGAAGTGCTAATTGGCAACCTAGAGTGTTTTTTCCAGGAAATAGCCACCTAACATTTGCAGAGAACAGAATGGGAAGACGTATTTATGTAAATATTTACGTGTACAGTGTAGTTTGGTATGAAAACAAGAGAGAGAGAAGCAAACCTTCGATACTGCTGAGCTGGTCCCTAGTTGTACTTGAAAACTCAGAGCAAAAGGGCCTGTCTTGCGTTAAAAGGATTATGACATCCTCCTGGGTTATAGCTACTTTGCGCTTGGTTATGTAGGGTAACAACGCTTCGATACCCTAAGTAATTGAAATACCAACAATAAAAACCGTTATAACATTTTGTGAAATAACTAAAGGAACCTAATATGCACCAAGCCTAATGCAAATGGACGAGAATAATAGATAGGCACATGTGAAGTTCGACACTAAGGCCCGGCTAAAACACCGTTCTTCAGATGAGCCCAGATCAAATAATTAAGTTGGGCTCGGTTGAAGTGCGGCGTTTGACCCAGTTATACTCGGCCGATTGTATTTGGATAGACTGATATGAGGCGTTCTTCACGGCTCGAGAAGGCGTGAAGGTGGTTGTTGCATACCTCCTGCATAAGTCGAAAATGACAAGCCACATTGTCAGCTTCAGAGCGTGCAATAACCTTCATACCTGTGTTTACAACCTGCAAAGGGAGACACAGCCTTGTAAGGAATAAAGGCACGATAATCTAATTTCATATTGTTTCCTGTTATTTAAAGTTGAAAGGTACTTACAAGA